AGCAAAATGAACCACCAACTATTTCAGCATATGTTTTACGCAGCGGACGCCTTTCCAGCCCCAACCCAGTACTGGAAAACACCCATATAGAGCATGTCCTATACCACATGTCCTTGGACTCTGAGGGAAACTGGAGAACCCAGAGGAAACCGTGTGAATACGGTGAGAACTTCTTACTGTGAGGTGACGGTGCTAACTACTGAGCCACCGTGCGATATGCTCCAGCAGTTAAGACTTGAAACTATAGACTGACATCACCCATAGATTTCTAAAGAGCACAAAATAAACTACAAGTTTTGTTTGCGCGTCATGCCAACTAGGGGTTGCCAAAAAAGGACTAAGAGGCGGAGCGTAGGCGGAACGTAGGCGTGGCATAAGTGGAGCTACAAATGCCTTCTAGCACTTTGCTTAGACAGGCTTTTGTTGTACACTATATCAAAAATACTGTTGTAATACATTGAGCCACTAAACATTGTTCTTATGACATTTTTCTACAGGAGGAAAATGTGAATTACTTCCAAACACTTCAAATATAGTCTGTGTTAGTAAATGCAAGGCTAATTATGAAATCCAGGCATAACACTGGATGACAACACTTTAGATGACTGTCCTACAGCCTATACAACTAATCAATCTGTCAGATTCTGGAGTGCATTACTGGTCTAAAGAAAAATGTAAATGATAAATGATCTTAAATAAAACAAATACATTTATAGAGATGGTATACAAGTAAATAATTTCACTTACCTGAAATGGAGGCCACTTACTGTAAATGATTTGTGAACACAATAAAGGGCACACAGCAAGCCATATCATCTGATAATTGTAGGAAATAATTCCAAAAGGCAATGGACTGTGTAAAGCCACATAAAACGAAACAAAAATACAATGTACAGCCGTTTACTTTCATATATTTTGTATTCCTTCTATTGAAGTCATTTTTCCTACCATTGAATTCACCGCTGTCCAGCATTCTTCAAGATATCTTCTTTTGTGTTCCACAGAAAATAAGAAACTCAAAGGTTTGGAGCCACTTGAGGATGAGTAAATGGGATTCAATTTTCTTTTTTGGGTGAACTATCCTATTAAGAGTCTCTGAAGGTCTTGAGTCTCTTAAGTGGTGCACTCCGATTTAACCATAATAGTCATGGTTAGAAATGTATGAATTGCATGAATGAAATGCTTTTGTCATTTTAGGGACTCTATTTCTTCTATGTCCGTGTAGGCCAATCTAATTTCATTCAAGTGCCTTGTAACCTTCAATTTGTTTTTGTTCTGCACAAGCAAATCCAACTTGAATACATGATTTGTGCATTCAAGCTTGGGGAATAAAAAAGGAAGAACTCGTTTTTCTTAAATTTTTAATTTTATTTTTTGCTGTTTTTTTTTTAGGATAGCTGCATGCAGTGCATTGTAACTGTGTTGCATTATACTCTACATCCTCAATTTTATGGACTGTTTTTAAATGGTTGTCATTTCAAAATATTGTGAAATTAAAGCTCAAAGCTGTGCTTACAAGTTAAAATAAACTCTCAGAAAATGTTAGTACTACAACTACATTATTGACTAGTAACTTTTATAGAAAAACAAGAATGTGGGAGAATTGAATCCCAAGAAAATGTTTCAAAACCCAATGTTCCAATGTTCTCGGTGTGTTCCCGTTTGTGTGTGTCTACATAGTTAACAGCTTACAATAAGGTTCTATTACTTAATGTTTGTTCATTTACAAACATTAACAAAACTTTTTTTACAGCTTTTATTCTTCTTTGTTAATGTTACTGAATTAAAATTATATTGTAATCCTTGTTAACTCCATCATTAACCGATTAATAGGATTTTAGCTCAAATTCATAAATATTGAAATGATCAATATTATTTATTCATTGTTGTATAAGTATTGTTCATTCTTCATTCACGTTAGTAAATACATTTTAATAACATTAACTAATAGAACCTCATTGTAAGGTATGCATGTTTTTTGCTTATTGTGAGAACACACACTGACTGCAAACATTTAGCCCAGATTTTCTTTCACTGAGAGTTTTGTGGAAATCACTAACAAATCTGAGGCAGATTGATGGCAGATGTAAATGACAGTCATATTGTGTGTACTGTATTTTCAAACATACTGTGTATTTTTAGAGACACTAACTGACAGAACCACCAAGGTTCCTCCTTTTATAATGCCATGAATAATTTTGCTGAAAAAGCATTTTTGTTTATTGTAATTGGATGATATAGAATTTGCATCTTGTATTAGTGCCATGTGTATTATTCTGAAGGTGTTTTATTATCATGCAAATTACCATGTGTGCAGTCTGTGTTTAAGGTTTAGGCATAATATGTGGGTTTTTTTGTTGACCATAATTCATATTGTGACTTGCTATTTCACAACCTGTATATTTTTGGTAGTGTAGATTTTAAGATCAAAAGCACAAGTAGATTTGTAAAATAAATTATAGATCAAAATACAGTGGGCCCTATCTTACACTCTGTGCAATAAGGCACAAGTTGTGTTTGCACAGTTTTTTTTATTTGCTAATTTTTTGCACAATTAATTAATTAATTTATTTATTTTACTTTGTGGATTCATGGGTTTGCCGATCTATGGTGTATTAAGGTGCATTTTTGACACATTGCTATTTTAAGGAACTGAAATAGACCGTGCCATTGACCAACCAATTGCAGGTCTAAAGTCCAGCACAGAGCACGTTAGTTATGCGCCTATGCAGGTCCAAAATGTGTACACGTTGCTTAATACACACAGGATGTACAGCAATACACAAATATCTTTATAAATGAAAAATAAAAATGCAAGATTAAAATGTTACAAAAATTTATATTTTCTACGTAAATATAAAAACCACTGCCTCCATGCCTTTTTTATGTCGGGGGACCTTTTTTAGTTTATTCATGACAATTTGTATAATGATATTATTATTAGCAGTATTATTTATTAAATGCATATTTATATTTGTTTTAACAAAAACCAGCTTAGATTTGTCCACCTGTTGGGTTTTGGACCATGGGGAATAAGCAGTGCGTTTGGATTTGTCCACCTGTTGTGGTTTTTTGACCACACTTCATTATTATTGTTCATTTATTCGTTTGCTGGATATTAAAACTCAATTTAACAGTTTTGAAACAAATCTTAACAAATGAAATTAAATATGTAGACTAATAGATGTCTTCAAGGGAGTGCGCACAACACAGTTTCCTTATCGACAAAAGTAAAAGAGTAAAGTAAAGAGTAAAGGTAGATTAAAGAGGCCGAACAGAGGAGGCTCAACCCTTATTCTCGCTACAGATGGTTTGTTTAACTGTTTTCTTGCTAGTGAAGCATTCAGCTTTTACCACTTACAAAGTCCGCCATATAAATAGCGAAAAAGGGAATGTGAGATGAGACTATGATTGGCTTAATTCATGTTATGTTCAAAACTCACCCATTTCTTATTAAGAGAATATGAACAACCCTGTTAGACCATGTGCTGAGGCATAAACCCTATTTTTTATACTTACAATGGCAAAAGTGCATTCGGACATGCCCTTAATGCTTTTGCGCCATGCGCTTTATATTTTGCGCCTAGATCGGTAAAAAAGAGCCCAGTATATGCAATACCTGTAACTTTTTCACTATTTTTTGCTCCATTTAATGAATATCACCATTCTTTTCCATCTGCCTAAAAAAGACATTAGTTTTAGGCCCTGTTACCTGGGCATCAGTTGCTTAGCAATCCCTGGTCATGCCCTCACTGTGCTCCAGACTTCCTGTCAGAGAGACAGACGGGTTTGACCTCTGAATGACATGTCTCAAACTTGACATCCTGTCAGAGAACACGTAAGCAATGTCAAATGTGCCTGCTGAACCAACTGTGAACCTTACTCTTGTCTTCCTGGTCGGTTCCCATGGCAACGTGATGGTTATGATGCCTTGTGAATTCGTCTGTCTTCTCGAGGATTTCCATCAAGAATATCAAAAAATGCTCAAACTCTGTATTTATTAAGATGTTTAATCTTGTTTGAAGTTTTGACAGACATTGTTCTTCCATTTTCCTCCTAGTTTGACATGCTATTCCTCCCCCTCTCTCTTTGATCTTGTTTCTGTCTCTGTCTGGGAAACAACACATTTCATCCATTCATCATCGATCTGTTAAACCCAGCATGCAAGAGACACAAAGAGACGTCTTTCTTTCAAATTGCCAGTCTGTGAACATCATTCGAACGCAAAACATTAACTTAGATTAAACCAGAACATTTCAAAAAGCATTTTTTATCAGTGGCTTGAGACTTTATATGTCCTTTATTTAAGAACATTCAACAAGCTAAATGGTTCGAGAAAAGACTGAAGAGAGGATGAGAAAAGGAAACTGGATGTCTTGGCACTTTAGTGATTTTATGTCACTCACAATCACAGAATCAATATTTTCTGAGTGCATGTGTACATGTGTGTTATGTGTAAGTGTTTTGAGCGTCTGACAGCTAAAGGATCTTATCGCGCTTCTTTAAAGGATGTTTATCTTTGACGCTGCGCACCTGCTAAACAGGTTCTCTTATCCGTCAGTGCTGAAATTACAGCGGAGTGATGGATGATCACAAAACACAACAGAAAGCATGTTCAGGAAAAGTGAGAGAAGCCATTTCCTCAGCAGAGTAAAGCCGGCGATTTTGATTTATAAGATCATGCTCGTTTTAATTAGGTAAAGAAGCTTTCTAAGCTTTGAAAAATATCATGAAGGCGTTATAACAAGCATCCCATGGCTGAGCCTCTATTTTGGCATTGATTTGTGCGTAAAATGCTTCCAGTTCCTTCTGCAGTGAGTGGTGTGATATTTCAGCCGGATCAGAGGTGAGATGCTGCGCTGGTGATAGCAGAGGTCATTTGAGCTGAACTCTAGACATGTACTTCACTATAATGTGAGCTTCCTTCCATTCTCATCAATCCAGCGTAATCGGAATGAATCTAATGGAATGTATCTCTGTGTGTGTGTTTCTTCTTTCAGATGCACCAGTGCAGAGACAGAAAGCTCTGACAGAGCTTGGTCAAAAAGGTGACGTCGCTTCTCAGGAGACGTCGTTAGATAAAGGTAAGAATAATACACATGCTGAAAAGCACGATAAGACCAAATCAGATAAGCACAAACACGCTACTAAAATGCACCACCGAACGGTGGAATGAAAATGAATGCGCGTATGTGTGTGTCAGATTGAAACACACAGTGATATATGAGGCCTGAGAAATGGAGAATAGTTAATTTTCCTTAGCCGGAGAATGAACACACACACACAAAACATCAGGCAGCAGACGTAAATGATAACCTCAAATTGGATTGTCGGATGAGGCCGTCACAGTGGTGCAGTGGGTAGCATGATCGCTTCACAGCAAAAAGATCACTGTGTGGAGTTTGCATGTTCTGTCCGTGTTCGCGTGGGTTTTCTCTGGGGGTTTCTCTAAACATGTTCTCTCCGGTTTTCCTCACAGTCCAAAAACATGCGATTTAGGGCAATTGGGTAAGCTACATTGGCCATAGTGTATGTGTGTGAATGAGAGTGTATGGGTGTTTCCCAGTGAACGCAAAACATATGCTGGATAAGTTGGCAGTTCAGATTAAACCCCAGATTAAAAAAGGGACTAAGCCAAAAAGAGAATGAATTAATTAATTAATTAATGACTTGTCGAATTGACTTTTTCTGAGAGCTATTTACATATTTTTACTTTTTTACTTTACGATTTTTGTCACCTCAAAGCAAGAAGGTTGCTGGTTTCAGTCTCGGCTGGGCCAGTTGGCATTTCTGTGTGGAGTTTGCATGTTCACCCCATGTTCACCTCCGGGTGCACCTGTTTCCCCCATAGTCCAAAGACATTATGTATAGGTGAATTGAATAAATTAAGTTGTCAGTAGTGTGTGTGTGAATTAAGTGTGTATATGTGAGTGAGTGAATCAGGTGGAAGGGCGTCCGCTGTGTAAAACATATGCTGGAAAAGGTAACGCATAACCAGTGCTGATCACCAAATGATCTGAGAGATTCATCACTACGATAGTAGCACAATTCCATCAGTAGGATCCATTACCTTTGTCTTGTGGTTGGTTTGTGTAATGCATTTTTGTTTATGCTACCATTTGTCATCAACTATTGTGATAATCGCTCTCAATTTCAGCAGTACTAAGTGAAATTTTTAAACTAATTTCGGGAAATTGAGACTAAGCCGAAGGAAAATGAATGAATGAATGAATGAATGAATGAATGAATGTAAAGTGGTAAAGGTTCTTTTGTCTCATCACATTGACTTAAAGCAGATAATTTATCAGTCTCATTCATTTATTCATTCATTCATTTTCTTGTCGGGTTAGTCCCTTTATTAATCTGGGGTTGCCACAGTGGAATGAACCGCCAACTTATCCAGCATATGTTTTACGCATTTAACCATTGTGAATCAAAAACATTTGCCAAAGATGGGTTGCAACTAGAAGGGCCACAGCGGACTGAACCGCCAACTTGTCCAGCATATTTTTTACAGAGCGGATGCCTTTCCAGTCGCGACCCATCTCTGGGAAACATCTACACACACTTATTCACACTAATACACTACGGAAAATTTAGCCTACTCAGTTTACCTGTACGGCATGTCTTTGGACTGTGGGGGAAACCGGAGCACCCGGAGGAAACCCATGCAAACTCGGGGAGAACATGCAAACTCCACACAGAAACGCCAACAGACCCAGCCGAGGCTCAAACCAGCGACCTGCTTGCTGTAAGGTGACAGCACTACCTACTGCACCACTGCATCGCCATTTATAGATCTGAAATTTTCAATTCATAATGCTGAAAATTGACAAAAAAGATTGCAACATTTTGCTGTTGGTAATTATTATTATTATTATTATTATTGTCTACTTTAATACAGAGTTCTCCCTGTTATTATATTTATAGTTACTAGTTAGTCTATTTTTGATAGCTCTTCCAAGTATTAATCCACTTTGAGTAAGATCCGGTTACTGCAACTGTAAGCTTTTCTAGTAATTTCATCATTGTCTATGCAGTTATGAGAACTGCTGTGAATGCGAATGAGCTGCCCGTTCATTTCCTCTCTGGCTTGTTTGTTTATTATTATTCTCCATGACAGTGAAAAGTACATGACATGAGCTGAACCGAACCTGCATCCCTGATAGCCACAGTGCTCTGATGCCTTGTTATTGTGGAGATTCAGCTTTAGAGCACCTGAAAATCATCTGAAAGTGTAGTTGGTTACTTCATATGTCATTCGGGTGACTGTCAGGTTCCTATTTAAATGGCTGGAATAAGATGCATTGTGGAGAAGCGGTCCAGTCTGGCTATGCAAGGCTGCACACATTCACTCTCTAGCGAACATGTCAGCAGCCTGTCACCCCCTTTGCAGTTGGCTTTTTCTCCACATCCTAGCATATAGGCAGAATGAAAAGAGAAGAGGTGGTAAAGTGGTAGAGAATAAAGCATCTCATGAAGGGATCATTGTTTTGTTTTACAGTCAGCATAATGGAATGAACCGACTTTTGAATTGCGATTAGTGTAAAGTGTTCACATCACATGTAACCATTACTGAGAGCTTCGACTTGTGCCATATGACCGCTGCACTACTTGACATATTAATGCATATTAATTTTGTCGTTGCCATGGAAATACATAAAAGACGTGGAGCACCCAGAGTAGAATGTTATGGGCTGTCAACTCATAATTATGATAATTACATCAAGCTGTGAATGCTACATAAAGGATCTACATATTTGTTGTACTCATTTTCAGCTCATTTGAGTTAGTGTTGTAATATGAATAGAAGTGAATATGTGCTTAATGCAAAGTGGGAAAAGGTTGTTGTCTCATCACATTGACGTGAATAGCATGAATTACATGTAGCACATAATTTATCTGATGTTTTCAATTCATTCATTCATTCATTTTCTTTTCGGCTTAGTCCTTTTATTAATCTGGGGTCGCCACAGTGGAATGAACTGCCAACTTATCCAGCATTTGTTTTACGCAGCGAATGCCCTTCCAGCTGCAGCCCATCTCTGAGAAATGTTTGTAATTCACAATAGTTAAATTTGACAAAAATTTTTTTTATTTATAAAGAAGCTTTGAAAATGCAAAATTTAGCTGCTTACATCTTACCCTTCACACTTTCAATTTTAAATTTGCCATATACTGCACTGGTTCATTAAGTTAAATTGTTCTCTGATATCTAACTGTTGGGTTTGAGTCTTAGGCGAGTAAAAAAAAATGCTCATTTATTACTCTGTAAAATATCCCTACAATCAGAAGGCCCATAATTGACCATATTTGGATCGATCTTGAATATTAATGAGCTTTAGCATGCAGCTCTCACAGACACACACACACAGCATGGCATATGCTGAACACACAAAGGAGAGAGATTTCTAGTTAAGTCTTTTTAACTTAATGGGTGGAGGTTTATTTTAACTAAATGGAGAGAGTGAACTCTGTATTAGAAACCCATTAGAGTAACCTCTTTTGCTTACAAGATCTGTTGTGGATAAAGGCTAAAAGACAAACGAGGTTGATTGATATGTATTGTGTTTTATTTTTAGCTATAATGTCTAAGAACACATCGTAAGGTTTAATTATAAACCAATTCATAACTAGATGGGGTGTGCATATTGATGTTCTCAGAGCTACATATAAGTCTGTGTTCTCTTAATGACAAGGCTGCTTCTCAGGTCCGGATGAACAACCTAAAGTACATGGAAATGAAATGGGCATGGCCCCTGGGTCACATCACAATCTGCTTTGCCCTCTGATTAGCCACTAGGGTTTTACACTGGTGAAATTTACATGAGAACAAGGAAACCATGGCATCTAAGGCTCATGGCATGGCTATTTTCATATACTGATCTCCTATTATTCGACTATGCCTAGGTATAACCAGATTTTCGTGTCATGCCAGAATTCATGTTTGCTATCAGGTTTGCTTAATTGACCCTTCGCTAACTCACACCCAAAAATCGCCACCCACCAATCGTTGCTTGGCAACTGTAGCTACGCACAGGGGCTCTTTCAAGCTTTCGAGTGAGTGCATATGGATTGTGCAAGTCTGATACTCTGTATCCTTAAAATTTGGACGGGATGGTGTAATTTTTTTCCCTTTTCAAAACCTAAAACCCAAGAGAAGAAATGCCAGCGTGGATTAAGCTGTGTGAGGGGCGCTAAAGGAGCGGAGCTAAGTTTTGTTTTGATATTCCTGACACAATTCAGTGATAGACAAATGACAATAACTCACACACCCCTTACCCTAAACAGGTCTAAACTGTGTTTCCTACAAAAACACAAAGCTGGTTATGTTTCACAGCTGTCTTTATCCTTCTTTTTCCCTCTTGATATTGTGAGTAATGCTCCGTTTAAGCCTTCGCCATAACGTTAGTAACTTAGTCATACTAATAGCGAATAGGTCATAATGACACAAGTTATTGATCCAGAAAATATGAATCTGCGAATCTGTTGCTAACTTTACTAAACTTCATATTTCCATCTGTTTCAAGCTACAAATATTTGAAATTACAAATCAACAGAACAAAACCGAGATATGATCACAAACTGAGCTCTTGCGATCAATAGACTTTACCAGCAGCTGTTTTTCAGTCATTTATAAAGAGCACACAAACATACTGACAGTAATAGGTTATTTATTGTACATTGTTATGGGTCAATGATGTTAATATTTAGCACAAATCTATCAGTTCCCTTTATGGCTGTTCATGAACTATGTAAAAGCACTGTCATGCGCGTTTCCTCGTCGGTTAGTAACGCTATATTTCATTGCACAACAATTAATCTATTAGGCTTTTTGGCTAAAATAGAGAAATCACGGTTTCATTTGTTATTATCAGATTATTTTTAAATGTCACCTCTCCTGCTGAGCATAAGCTAAGCTGTTGAATGGCTAGCATATGAGGCGGCTAGGCTAAGCTTGCTTCAATTTTGATTACTTTGTTCTCTAATCGGTTGCCTATATGTTGTGAATATACCCCTGTAAAACATACTGCAGTCCTTTGCTTGACTGGTGTAGCAACAGTACCTAAGGAGGGAGGGGCTT